CCTGCAGCTTGAAGAAACAGAAAGGGATGGGTAAATGTAAAAACGGATCAGTATGCTAGTTCCGGGTAATTCTCCTGCAATTCTGCCAGGTAGGAAAGTGAGTAGGGTACCCATAACCCAGGGGGTTTCTCTGTTTGGAAAATAAAACCAAAAGACTTCGGGCTGGGCACGGTGGCTCACGCCTGTAATCCAGCACTTTTGGGAGGCCAAGGCGGGTGGATCACCAAGGTCAGGGAGATCGAGCCATCCTGGCTAACATGGTAAACCCGTCTTGTACTAAAATACAAAAATATTAGGCCAAGCATGGTGGCGGGTGCCTGTAGTCCCAGTATTCACTCAGGAGGTGAGGCTGGAGAATGGCGTGAACCCGGCAGGTGGAGCTTGCAGTGAACCGAGATCATGCCACTATACTCGGCCTGGGTGACAGAGCGAGACTCCTTCTCAAAAAAAAATAAAAAATAAAATAAAACCAAGGAACTTCATAGACCCCCAAAGGGAAATGCTATGTCTTGGCCAGTCAGATTTTAGACGGAATAAGTCCACTACATCACCCTTGCAGGAATTGCTACAGTCACTCTACTATTCACGTAGGGTTTTGCACGTGGGTGGTCACGCCAGTAATCCAGAGCATTTGGAGGCCAAGGCGGGGCGGATCACGAGGTCAGGAGATCGAGACCATCCTGGTTAACACGGGTGAAACCCCGTTCTCTACTAAAAATACAAAAATTAGCCGGGAGTGGTGGCGGACGCCCTGTAGTCCCAGCTACTTGGGAGCTGAGGCAGGAGAATGGCGTGAACCCGGGAGCGGAGCTTGCAGTGAGCCGAGATCTGGCCACTGCACCTCCAGCCTGGGCAACAGCGAGACTCTGTCTCAAAAAAAAAAAAAATTGACAAGTATATAAAAGACCTAACCTACCCCACTGACGCCTTGACAGCAGGGACACCTGCAGAGACCCCCACTCTCAACAGTCAGAGAATATTACACGTGGCAAGGACCCATGAGGCCCTTCCAGTCAGTGAGCAGTGGGTACGACTGAGTCATGCACAAAACTGCAGGGCTAGTTGGCTCCTCTCCTGGGAGGCTGCGAGTCTGTGCGTGGGCCGAGGGCTGGGGAGGCGGCCCCCGGTCAGAGACCCTTCCATAAAAGGGTCCTGCAGTTCCCTGCAGGCGAGGGAACCCAGAGAATCAAGTTACAAGTTGATAACACAAAGAAAAGCAAACGTGACCTGCAGGGTGGCTCATGCCTCTAACCCCAGCACTCTGGGAGGTTGAGGCAGGCGGATTGCCTGAGCTCAGGAGTTCGAGGCCAGCCTGGCCAACATAGTGAAACCAGTCTCTATGAAAAATACCAAAAAAAAAAAAAAAAATTAGTCGGGCGTGGCGGCGGGCGCCTGTAGTCCCAACTACTCGGGTGGCTGAGGTAGGAGAAATGCTTAAACTAGGGAGGCAGAGGTTGCAGTGAGCACTATTGCACTCCAGCCTGGGCGACAGAGCAAGACTCCGTCTCAAAAAAAAAGAAAAGCAAATGCTCCAGGACCTTGGGGATTTTAATTATATGCTGCTGAATAATTTGGAGAGTTAAATAGTAAATCACAACCAAAATCTACAAATTCCTAGAACAGAAAGGAAATGAAACTCCACATGTCACCTGGCGCAGCAGAGACTGTGATTCAAGGCCAGGCCAAGGGTGAAGGAATGAGCCACGTACCTATCCTAAGATGCCTGATCCCAGCATTGTATAGAAATGGAAAGATATGGCCCGGCACGGTGGCTCACGCCTGTAATCCCAGCACTTTGGGAGGCCAAGATGGGTGGATCGTGAGGTCAGGAGATCGAGACCATCCTGGCTAACACAGTGAAACCCCATCTCTACTTAAAATACAGAACAATTAGCCAGGTGTGGTGGCGGGTGCCTGTAGTCCCAGCTACTCAGGAGGCTGAGGGAGGAGAATGGCGTGAACCTGGGAGGCAGAGCTTGCCTCCAGCCTGGTGACAGAGCGAGACTCCGTCTCAAAAACAAAAAAAAAAAAAAAAAAAAAGAAAAGAACTGCCCAGACGTAGTGGCTCACACCTGTAACCCCAGCACTTTGGGAGGCCAAGGCAGGTGGATCACCTGAGGTCAGGAGTTCGAGACCAGCCTGGCCAACATGGTGAAACCTCATTTCTACTAAAACTACAAAAATTAGCCGGGCGTGGTGACACATGCCTGCAATCCCAACTACTCAGAAGGCTGAGGCGGGAGAATCAGTTGAACCCAGGAGTTGGAGGTTGCAGTGGTCAAGATCACAGCACTGCACTCCAGCCTGGGCAACAGAGCGAGACTCTGTCTAAAAAAAAAAAAGAAAGAAATAAAGAAACATGAGTGGATGACTGTGCTGTTTGTATGGACCAGGAGAACTTCTGGAAGGATAACTGAGGCAGTGTCCATAACTCAGCCCTGGGAATTGAAGCCAGGATGGGGAGGAAAAGGCAGCAGTTGGTTTCATTCTATTTTGTTTCTGTGCCTGTATTACTTCTAAAGTAAACAAAATACACAAACTAGTTTCACTTTCACAACATGACTGCTTTATCAGGATATGCGTTTTCCTCCAACTCCCAAAGGTGTCCCATCACGGGACAAAAGTCTGCCAGCCTTCAGCTGCCCTCCAGGGCCTCACGGTGCAGGTGCTCCTACCTGAGCAGCCGGAACCCTCGCCCCAAGGAACTAGAGCCCCCTTTGAGTTGAGAGACCCTAGTGGGCAGGAAAAGAGGAGAAGGAAGCTGTGGCTGCCGGGGCATGTGGCCTCGGAGACAAGCCCCTCTGTGCAGAGGACGTGGGCAGGTGGGATTTCAGCCCCTTCTCCAGCATCTCACTGGCAGCCAGGGTGGCTGGGGGTTCCCCGAGGGCGGGAGCTGGGGAATCTGACCTCTGTGCCCCGGCCATGGTACTATCTTGCTGGGAGGATGACAGGCTGTGTTTCACCTGCCAATTTGGTGACGGTTTCTCTTTTGAACATCCTGGGGGACTTTGTTGGGTGCTATCCACCCCTGGGCCCTGGGTCTGACGGCCGAGCTGCAGGCCCCAAGGTTCAGCGTCCAGTCTGGCCCTGCTCTGTCCATTCCCCAGATTTGAGGGTTTCACAGAATTTGGTTCTGCTCCTTCCTCTCTTCCACGAAACTGGGGGCATTGCCCACACCCCGGTGTCCCCCACCATCTGCCGGGTGGGGACTTGCCCACTCACGTGACTGCAGCCTGTGGGGCCTCCTCCTAGTATCCCGAAGATACCACTTCATCCTTGACCCCGTCCGCACCTGCCCGCGTGCCCCCTTGGGTTCTAGTGGAGGATGTGGCCCGCCTGCCACCCCGCCATGCACCGGGTCCTCCAGGCCTCCTCGACCCACCTTCAACCCACCTGGGGTGTCTGTGCGTTCCCAGCCCAGATGCATCTTGGAGCCTTCCACCCGCACCCCATCTCCTGCCCCAACAGGCTGGGCCCCTCCTCCTGGGCTGGCCAGGCCAGCACCTCCGCAGGCGCCGCAGGACGCCCGAAGGCCCGGGCCGCAGGTGCAGGACCCTCTGCGCGGGAGCTGGGGGATCGCTCCTCACTCTGACCGTCCCGCTGCCCCGCTCGCTCTGCCCGCGCACCCCGGCCGTCTGGGGGCCGCCCCCGCTCCCCGCTCCCCGCTCCCCGCTCCCCGCAGCCCCGCAGCGGCCCCCTCGACCCGCCCAGCTCGCCCGTGCACAGACTCGCGGCAGCTGCGAGCGGAGCCAACCTGCCCCGCGGGGAACGCGCGCCGCGCGCGAGCTGGACCCGCCCAGGCGCGAACTCTCCTGGAAACACGCCCCTGGCCGTTTTCCCGCTGCCTTTAGCGCGAACCGCGGGTGCGGTGCCTCGCGTGGAAACAGCAAATTCCCTGTCACGCTTGCTGCGAACGCGGCGTGTTCCCGAAACTCGGCGGCTTCCCGTAAACCCCGCTCCTTCCTCATCGGGGGGTGGGTCCGGCGCGGGTCCGCCGCCTCCTCCCCGGCCCCTCCCTCCCGTCTGTTTCATTTTCCTGGGGCTCCGGGGCCCGGAGAAGCTGCATCCCGGAGGAGCGCGTCCCGCAGCGGACCCGGTGAGGCGCGGAGAGGGACGGGTGGGGGAACCAGAGGGGCGGGCGCGGAGCGGGCTCGGTGCTGGGAACTTGGTGCTGGGGACTCGGTGCTGGGGACTCGGTGCTGGGGACTCGGTGCTGGGGAGTTAGGGCTGAGGACCCGGTGCTGGGGGCTGGGTGCTGAGAACTCGGTGCTGGGGGTTGGGTGCTGAGGACCCGGTGCTGGGGACTCGGTGCTGAGGACCCGGTGCTGGGGGCTGGGTGCTGAGGACCCGGTGCTGGGGGTTGGGTGCTGAGGACCCGGTGCTGGGGACTCGGTGCTGAGGACTCGGTGCTGAGAACTCGGTGCTGGGCGCTCTGTGTTAGGGGTCGCCGGTCCGCGCAGGGATGGGGACTCTGGGGCTGCAGCGCCTCTGCCTCGGGGACCGTCACCCCCGCCGGCCCTGAGCGCGAGTCGCCGGCCAGGCGGGCGGGGGCGCAGCGGGCGCGCTCCGGGAGGGGCGGGAACCAGCTACAGGCCGTGTGGGGACCCGCGTCTCTGCCCTGCGCCCCGGGCTCGATTCTTGAAGGGACAGAGGCGGCGTCTCGGACCCGGGGCTCCCCTAAGTCCAGTGGGTCGGAGCCCCCTCCGCCTTTCCTGGTCCTCGGCCTCAGCCGGGGTTCCCTGCGCCGTCGCTGCGACCAAGTTGTGAGCAAAACGAGCTGGTGGACACACGCACGCATGAGCACACGCAGGCACGCGTGGACTGTGGCACACTCCACAGCCACAGCTTCGTGTGCGCTCACAGCAAACTCATAAAACAGGAACCGTGAGGCTTCCCCTCACCCAGGCAGGCCCTCAGCTGCCCCTTCTGGCGCTGGTTTTGCTGACTCCGCAGGAATGTCCACATTCAGTTCCTTGCCCACTACTGGTCATTCACCTGCAGCTTGAGAAGCACGTTTTCTGCCCGTCGTCGGCAGAGGATCCTTGGCTTCTGGGAGGCCCAGGGTGACTGGCTGCGGGGGCCAGGGCGGGAGGCCTGTCTCCAGCAGGGCGGGGGGTGGTGGCAGGGCCTCTCCAGGGGGCCGCTGCTGAGCCCAGAGCAGGAGGACAGGAGGCCACCAACAGAGGGGACAGGTGAGCAAATGCTGAGGAGGAAGGGTTAGCCTGATCTAGCCCCCAGGCCTGAGGGGACTTTGCTGACCACCTGGGGTCCCCTCTGGGCCTGCTCCAGCAGAGACCAGGGCAGAGACGTCCACACCGTGGGCCTGGGTGGGCTCCATGGCCTCCGCGAGCTGCAGCTGTCTTCTGAGAGGTGTTGGTGTGCTCATTCTCTGTAGAGATGTGGGGTCCCCTGTGTTGCCTGAGCCCTGCCGCAGCTGGGAAAGCACTGTCAGCCACCCCTCAGGTGCTGTGGGGGTAGAGAGTCCACTGACCACACAGGAGGACCCCAGTGAACGCAGCCCGAGGGGACCTGAGCTTCCACACACCCAGCACCTGTGGGAGCCGGGACAGGCAGGTGCCCGGGGCACCGAGCAGCGGGAAGAGGCGCGCACAGGCTTGCTGGGTGGTGCATGGACTTTCCTAGGCGTGTCACTGGGAACGGCTCCAAGCCGATGCGTCAATCCTGGTCGGGGAGCATTCAGACCCTACTGTGTCTGGTGCCAGCTCCTCAGATGCCGACCCCTGTTTTCGTGGTTTGAGAGAAATCTGATTGCTGCCCCCATCTTTTCCCAGTCCAGAAGTTTGTTTTTTGTTTTTGTTTTGTTTTTTGAGACAGAGTTTCGCTCTTGTTACCCAGGCTGGAGTGCAGTGGCACGATCTCAGCTCACCACAACTTCCACCTCCCGGGTTCAAGCAATTCTCCTGCCTCAGCCTCCCAAGTAGCTGGGATTACAGGCACACACCACCCGGCCTGGCTAATTTTTTTGTATTTTTAGTGGAGACTTGGTTTCACCATGTTGTCCAGGCTGGTCTCAAACTCCCAACCTCAGGTGATCCACCTGCCTCAGTCTCCCAAAGTGCTGGGATTACAAGCATGAGCCACCGCACCCAGCCCACTCTGGAAGTTTTGAGGCTCCATGCGCCTGGTCTCCCTGAGCCTGGTCTCCTTGTACCATAAACGGAGCTACTGGGCTGGTCACCACCCACCTGGCCACTTTCCCGGTGGCTGCACCCTGCCGCTTGCACTGTCTCTGATTTTTAGCCACTGCACGGTTTTCAACTCGAGCCCACGCCTCTGGTCAGGAGGATGGCAGGAGAGGACTCAGGCAGACAGGGGCAGAGTGACAGGGCTGACACAGGATACCCAGCAACATCTGAGTTTGAGATCATTAATCGTGTTTTTAATATAAGTGTGTCCCAAGTGTCCCACGGGACAAGCTTTTACCAGGACATCGTTGGTTGTTTATCTGAGACTCAGATGTGACCAGATGTGCAGGTACACTGATGCCTGATGACCTGAGAGGGGCCTGTGTCGCCCGGTGCGTTTTCTTCTAATAAACGGAGCAAATTCCCTGCAGCAACCCAATGTCCCTGACGCCTGCTGCCCAGACAGAGCTGGGGCCACACACAGTCCGCAGCCTAAAGCCTCAGAGTAGAGCCAGATTGCCACTCTCCATCCTGTCTCCCCTCAGCTCCCTTCCCCCTGAGCCCTTCAAAGTCATTCTCAAGCCAAAGACAGGGGTCTTCCAGGCCTGGGGCTCCCCTCCACGGCTGACTCATTCCACACCTTTCCCGCCACCTGCCGGGTGTGGACCGATGGGGAGAGCACTGCCACCTGCTCCTGGTACCCTCCAGCCCAGCCCTTGCTGCCCTTCACCCCTGGCTGGGCGAGGGTCAGGGCCGCCAACATCAGAGGGCACTCAGTGGGGAGCTGGTGAAGGTGCTGGGAGGAAGGGAGGGCCGGGGAGAGGCAGTGAGAGGATCCACGTGTGAGAAGCAGCAGCCACCACCACAGTTGGGCTGAAGGGACTTGGCGGGGAGGCAGCATCTCCAGAACGGTGCAGTCCAGGCTGCCAGGGGCTGAGACCGTGGAGGGGATGAGGCCAGAAAGAGGGACAGTGCCAGCTTCTCACTCCCACCCCCCTCTCCCCAACAAGGGCAGCCCAGGACCCTGGGTCTTTGGGAAGCAATCGGGCAGGAAGGCTGGGAGATGGAGCTGCAGGGTCCACCCGCGGCAGCAGAGGCATCTAGGAGCCACTGTAGCCCCTGAGAGCAGAGATTCCACTGCACTGCTGACCCCATGGAACACAGAGCGGACAGACTTGGGACACTCAGGGCGGAGGGGAGGCAGATGCAGCCACTGCCAGGCGGGAGGAGCTTGGCATGAAGCCAGGTGCATGCAACTGGCCCTCGGGGGCCTTCAGGACCCAGCTGCTCAGGTCTGGCTCACGGTGCAGCTCTTTGCTGAGTCAGGGCTGACTCAGGACACAGGCAGGTGGCAGAGCTAGCACCTGGGCGGGCAGGTGGGGTGGATGCAGCACCCTCGGGGTTCTGGGGATCTGTGACCTTTGGCTGTGTGCCCAGAGTTCCCCCCTTAACACGGTGGCAGGGCAGTCCCTGGAAGCGTTTATGAAACAGACTCAGATGGCCTCGGGCTCTAGGTGAGGGCAGGACCCCCCAGAGCAGCCTGGGGAGAACAGCAGGGCACCCCTCCCGGACACAGTCGGTGGGTGGTGCGGAGAGCAGTGGGAGAGCCCCCAGCAGCCCCGACCCTCCCTGCTGTCCATCTGCATGGCTCCAAGGTGGGCGTGCTGAGCTGGCATCGTGGAGCGTGGGGTGAGGGGAGCCGAACCCAGGCCCAACTGCGGTCTCCTTGTGTGAATCTCACCTCCATGCAGGGGTCTCCAGGTGGCCTGGGTCTCCCACTGCATTGGGGATGGGGGTTCTGTGGTCGGCTACCAGTCCCCAAAGATGTCATGTCCTCATCCCAGAACCTGACATGGCAAAGGGACTGTGCAGATGGGATGAAGTCTCGGGTGCTGAGCTGGGGCGTGTGTCCTGGGTCACCCAGGGGGCCGCTTGATGCCATCACAGGGTCTCCAGGAGAGGGAGGGAGGAGGGGGAGTCAGGGAGACAAGGAAAGCAGCTGGGGGGCGGTGGTGGGGAGGTGGCAGAGGGGCCGTGAGCCGAGGGATGCGGATGCCTCTGGGCGCTGGAGATGGAGAGGGACGGATTCCGCCTGGAGCCTCCAGAAGGGACCACCCTGGCCCACCCCTTGATTTTAGCCCAGAGAGACCCCATCGGGCTTCCAGCTAATCCAGAATGCTAGATGCATGATGGGAGATGGGGCCCTAGCCTGTCTCCAAGCCCATCTGAGCAGCCCTGAGGGGTCACAGCAGGAAAGCGGGTGTTAGTGAGAGGCCACAAAAGGTCTCGGGGTGGGTTCCCTCCCCTCGAACCCAGGCCCCGGCAGGGTGGGATGGGGTGTCCGACAGAAGGGACGGGACTCATCTGAGCGCAGTAGCTGCCTGGAGTGGGGAACCCAGACCTCGGGACACGGCACCCCCACCCTGCGCCAACGTGGGACCATGCCCGAGCCTCAGCAGCACCTCGGGGTTGGTGACGTGCCCACCTGCAGGGACAGTGTCCCCACACCTGCACTCCGCGGCTGGCAGGGGTTTCCGCGTGGAGGCAGGACCACGGTGAGAGTGTGGGAATGACCGGGCGGCTGCCTGTGGCTGTGCAGGGCCCAGAGATGACTAGAGGGAGGCTCAGAGGGGGCTGGGACACTTGGGGCAATGGGACGAGAAGGCCGGAGCCCATCTGCAAGCCTGGTCCTCAGCAGACCCAGACTCCAGCCTCTGGGAGGACCCCTGGTAACATGGGGTCCCCGGGGTTGGTGACGTGTCCTGCTGTGACACTTTCTGGCGGTTTGTTTGTTTGGAGAAACGCACATCTACAAAACTACAGACATCTATAAATAGCTCGTCTGAAGGTCGCTTTACACAGCTCCCTCATGGGAGTTCCCTGCAGGTCACCTGCACGCTGGTGTGTGGGGTGCACTGGGAGCTGGGAGAGGCAGGGCTGGAGTCACCGCCCTACCTAGGGACTTTTCCCAGCAGAGGTGCAGGGACCTGAGCGGCAGGGCAGCCTGGCCAGGAACCCTTGCCCCAGCCTCCTTCGAAGGCGGTGTTCTCTTGGCTGAAGGGAAAGTCCTGCCAGGGCTCCTGCTGGGCCTCGCCCGCTGCCCTACCTGGAACAGACCCAGGCCGCCTCCCCTCATTTTCCCTTCCCTGGTGCCTTTCAAAGTCCAGCAGGCATGTCAGCAGGTTCATGCAAAAGCACGTCACCTGGTCCAGGTGAGGGCCTGACCTTTGACCAGCACGGGCATCGGCCCAGACCCCACTAGAGGGACTGATAGAGTTAGGGTTAGGGCACTTTCCTGTGCAAAGCTGAGCTAGCTCCTGCGTGGGGGCAGGTGGGGCTTTGTGGAGCGTCCACACAGGGACCCTCATCCCCCAGCTGCTCTCAGGGGACCCAGATCCACACGTATCCAGCACCCACTGTATGCAGGGCTTGAGTGGGACCCCCCAGCTGCTCTCAGGGGACCCAGATCCACACGTATCCAGCACCCACTGTATGCAGGGCCTGAGTGGGGCCCCGTGGGAAGCACAGAAGCTGGGACCTCGCTGGGGCCCTTGAGAGGCTCATCCCTGCCTCTGACCCCGCCCCGGCACTGTGTGTGTGTGCACTGCAGCCGCCTCTGCCTGGCGGGAGAGGAGACACACAGCTGGGGGCTCCCAGCCTTTGCAGGCCCAAGGCAAGATAGCAAAAGGAGGCTCGCCTGCTGGAAGCTGCCCAGCAGCCTGCCTTGCCAGTGAGAGCAGCAGAGGTAAAGCTGACTTGTGTGTTAGGAACGCACAGAGGTGTAAACGATGGATTCGAAAGGAACACAACTGAGGGTTGCCCCGGGAGGGGGTCCGGTGGATGGGCGGGGGGTGGGGGGCCCATGGACGGGCAGGGGGGCCAGTGGACAGGCAGGGGGGACCGGTAGATGGGCTGGGGGGGTGCTGACTACAGGCTGTGGTCAGCGCTGGGCTTGGCTGGGGGAGGCGGACGGTGGGTGCTGGTCATGTGAGGGTCTCTGTGAGTGACTGGACGTCTGGACAGCATCACAGAGGCGGCAGACACCCGAGGATTGTAATGACGAAGCTCTGTGCCCTGGGCGTGCAGCGATATCACACACGTGCTCCTAAGTAGACGGATAAGTAGACGGAGGAGCATTGGTGAGGGGCTGGGGTTGTGCCCTGGGCGTGCAGCGATATCACACACATGCTCCAAAGTAGACGGAGAATCGGTTTCGTGCTTTGCGTTGGTGAGGGGCTGGGGCTGGAAGCTGGTCTTTGTACAGTGTCAGGTAGACGCGGCTACCAAAGCTTCCACCTGTCCTGACCCATTTCTACAGGAAACACCCTCAGGCAGTCATGAGTAAATTTATTGTAAAACAAAAGGGCTGACCCACAAGTCAGATGTCCCCGCCGTGCTTCGGGCAACTCTGTCTCCTGCCCCCATGTGTCTTCTTTGTTTCGCGCAGCCAGCATCGCACACCCTCTACAGTCACGGGGAAGGGAAGGAGGGTGGAGGCTCTGGCATCCCAGGCACAGCCGCTCAGGAAAGAGCGTGGGGACCCCCAGCCTCCCAGCCCCCGCCAGGCGACAGCCGCTCCCACTGTCCCCTTTGGCAGCCACAGGGGGCTCTGACCCACGGGCTTTCCTTCCTCCAGGAAGTGTCCCGAGAGCCAGTGACAAGGACCAGGGGCCCCTGAGGCTGCTGAAGTCCCGCCAGCCATGCAGACCTGGCCCCTGGTGTTCCCCGGCCCCGTTTCCTGGCCCTTTGGGGCCCTCCTGCTCCTGGCTGCCTCCTTGAGTGCTCAGAATGAAGGTAGGTCTCAGGGTCCTGCCTCTCTGCTGGGGAAAGGGGAGCCCGGTGGGGGCGTGGCAGGGGTGGGAGGGGTGGACTGAGGTTGGGTCCAGACGCCACCAGGCCCCCGATAATGACTGACTCTGCAGACCCAAGGCCCGACCATGCGGAGCTGGTCCAGGCAGTGGTGAGCCGGCCGTGTCCCGCCGTGGATGGAGGGCAGTGGTGGGCCGGCCGTGTCCCGCCGTGGATGGAGGCAGTGGTGGGCCGGCTGTGTCTTGCCATGGATGACGGGCAGCGGTGGCCGCTGTGGTACCTGGTGGTCACTGTCAGAGCAGTTGTGGGGAAGGACCAAGATCACGACCAGTTTCTAAGCGAGAGGGTCTGGGTCAGTTACGACCTGTGCTGTGGCCGGGAAACGGACAGCAGCCCTGGCCTGGGGGTTCCTTAGGCGTATCTCAGGCCTGCCAGGAGTGGATCGGCATTTGAACAAGGTCCCCCAGTGAGATCCTCCCCAGCTCTCTAGACCCCCAGCCTGTGCAGCAAAGTCACCTGAGGGGGTTTTCTTTTTTTTTTTTGAGACAGGGTCTACCTCTATCACCCAGGCTGGACACCCAGGCTGGACACCCAGGCTGGACACCCAGGCTGGGGTGCGGTGGTGCAGTCATGGCTCATTGCAGCCTTGACCTCCTAGGCTCAGGTGATCCTCCCACCTCAGCCTCCCGAGTAGCTGGGACCACAGATATGCACACCATACCTCGCTAAACTGTGTATTTTTTGTAGAGACAGGGTTTTGCCATGTTGCTCAGGCTGGTCTCAAACTCCTGAGCTCAAGTGATCCTCCCACTCGGCCTCCCAAAATGCTAGGATTACAGGCGTGAGCCACTGAGCCACCGGAGGGGCTTTTAAAAGGTGTCAGAGCTCAGCCACATCCCAAACCACATCCCAAAGCAGTTCAGTCAGAATCCTAAGAACAAACAAAAAACAAAACAAAACCGAAACGGAAGAATCCCAGGTGGAAGAACCCAGGTTTCGGGAGATTCTGGCCCCGCCCCCCAAGAGTGGCTCCAAAGTGCAACTGGCTGGGGCCCCCCCGACAGCCGCACGCTGCTCTCTGGACAGTGTGGATTTGTGCAATGGCCTGTAGAGGCCCTGCGGTCCCTGAACACTCAGAGCGCCCAGACAGGCAGCCAGCCTGCTCGTCCGAGGAAACTCAGTCCAGCCTGAAGGCCAAGTGCCCCTGAAGCCCACCCCCTCCCATGGGCACCAAGGCCCCTGGCACTTGCCAGCATGTGGCACCTGCCATGTGGTTTTGTATTTGGTGAAATGTGGCCAAATGGTGGCTCCACCCAGCATGCTGTGTGCTCCCCAAGAGCTCACCCTGCCGTCCATCTGTCCGTCCGTGTCCAGTCACAGGGGACGCTGACGCAGCAGGGACAGTGGCAGCACCAAGACCCCACGCTGGTGCCGTGCTCGGGGCCACACAACCTGAATCTCAGGCATCCCTGAGCTGGCTGCTGGGGCAAAGGCCCTGGCCCTCTGAGGGAAGCAGCTGCACGGGTCGCTATTGGGCAGGGTGCACCCAGGAGGCGGGAGAGAGAGACTGACACACTGGCTTGTTACAAGAGCTTGACCTCCCCGGACTGTGGAGCTGTGTGTGGAGCTGGCCCGGCCGCCTGGAGCTGAGCGGGCGCCCGGGAGGGGGATGTTGGGGACGGCACAGGCTGGGTCCCACAAGGACAGACTGGAACCTGCGTCTGCTCTGCTGGCCTCTGAAGCTGGCCTGTGGGTGTCCGCAGAAGTCCTGCCCTTCCTCACACAGCCAAGCACCTGCACTTGGCCTAGGCCTTGGAGAAACTGAGTGGGGAGCTGAGGGCGGTGGAGCTTGGCCACTGCTTCCCATGAAGAGGGTGATTCGGCAGGTCAGCAGCAGCACTCCTGCCACAGCGCAGTCGCCCGGCACACCCCTGAGGGTCTGGCTTCGCCCACCCCAGTGGAAATGTACAGGGGAGGGAGTTGATAGGAAATGTCTTCATCCAAGCTGACACACCCCAAGGAACAGACATGGGTATGAGGGCACACACACACACACACAAACACACATACACACACACAAACACACACACACAAACACACATACACACACACAAACACACACACACACAAACACACATACACACACACAAACACACACACACACCGCCACCCTTCTTTTTGGCTGCTATTTTATTCTTCCCACACAAGACATATGTGCTGATTGGGTCGGATGGATGTATACATAGTTCATCATGTCCCTTAGAGACCCTGTCTCCTGCCCCGGTCCTGGCCCTGGGCACAGCAGCCAGCCAGTGCCCTGAGGCCCAGCCCTGATCCGTGCGTGCCCCTGTCTGGCCCCACAGGTTGGGACAGCCCCATCTGCACAGAGGGGGTGGTCTCTGTGTCTCGGGGTGAGAACACCGTCATGTCCTGCAACATATCCAACGCCTTCTCCCATGTCATCATCAAGCTGCGTGCCCAGGGGCAGGAGAGCACCATCTTCAATGAGGTGGCCCCAGGCTACTTCTCCCGGGATGGCTGGCAGCTCCAAGTTCAGGGAGGCGTGGCCCAGCTGGTGATCAAAGGCACCCGGGACTCCCACGCTGGGCTGTACACCTGGCACCTCGTGGGACGCCAGAGAAATAACAGACAAGTCACGCTGGAGGTTTCAGGTGAGGGGAGGCTCGGGGAAGCAAGGGGGAGGGGAGTGAGAGGGGACACAGGGAGGGGAGGGGGCCTGGGCAGGGGGAGGGCTGAGACTGAGAGGGAAGGAGGAGGAGGAAGAGCAGGCGTAAGCGGGGCTGCCAGGAGACGGGGTGCCGGGGTGGAGAGTCGGGGTGGAGGCCTCTTGACCTCCTGGGACAGTTCTCCCTTCGGGAGGGGCAGGGGACAGGCCGGAGGCTTGGGGGGCACAGACCCACGGAGGCAGCCCGAGCCCCACCAACACTACGGAACACAAAGCCTCTGCTCCTCGAAGGAACCCCACCTGCCTGTCGGGGCGAGGGCCGCACTGTGCAGCCAGGAAGCCCAGGCACCCCCCGCCTCCCTGCCACACCCACCCCGGCTGTGCGGGGAAACTGCACCCCAAATGCCTGTGCTCTGAGAGGCCCTCCGGACCCGCAGCGCCCGGCTTCGAGGCACCTGCCCTCCCTTTACTGGGGTCACCCAGAGGTGCTCAAGATCACCTACCCACCACCCTTGGTGACCGTGAACAGGCGCCTCCCTGGCCGCCACGATCCTGCCCCGCATCTCCCACTCCCCTGCTGTCCACCTCAACAAATGCCTGGACCACACCTGCCCTCGCCCCTCCTGTCTTCAGGGCTGGGACCAGCCCCACCCTTCCCTGTCCCCACCCCTCTCCTCCTGCCCTCAGGGGATGCTGACTGCCCCACTCTCTGCCTCAGCTCCCCCGACATAGGCATGACCACCTCCTACCCATGTCCCCACTTGCCCAGCCCACTGCTCCCTCTGCCTCTTCTGCCCCGACTCAGGGCCCACAGCCGCCACTGCCAGCTACTTATTTGGTTCAACCAGAAAGCAGTGATGGCCAGCAGAGCACCCCCGGGCCCTCTGTGCTGCCCTCCAAGCCCCTCCCACCTGCTCCCTAGGCCCTGAGCAGCCACACCGCTGTGCGGGGCCACAGACCCCTCCAGTCCCCAGACCCACTCCCCACCCCTCCCCTTCCTTTCCTGCAAGTTCAGGAGCCTCCATGGCCCCTCCCAGCCCTCCCACCTTCACCACACCCGGCTCTGACTCGCCCGGGTCACCCAAATTGGGTTCCGCTTTGCTCCCCACCCCCAGGGCATCTGGTGAGCCCTTCCTGGACTCAGGTATGGGGCTTCTCAGATACCTGGCCCTGTGGGGGCCGCATCAGCGCAGGCCCCGCACCTGCCCTTGCATCTCTTCCCCAGAGCCCCAAGGCCTGAAGGACGGGGCCAGCGCACGTCCAGGGGTAGATGTTTCCCTCGCTGCCCCGAGGCACCCGTGCCCTGGGTCTCCTCCCACCTCTGTGGTCCTGCGCCCCCTCTCCTCCTGGCTCCCTCCCTCTCCTGTACCTCCTGGGCAAGGGCGGTGCAGTCCTCCGGGGCTCATTCTCACCCCAGGGGGTGTGCAGGAGGAGGAGGTTAGGGGTGGGGGATGCCCAACCCACCTGTCCACCGCTGAACTGCCTCCTTCAGGTGCAGAACCCCAGTCCACCCCCGACGCTGGGTCCTGGCCTGTGCCTGTGGTGGTCACTGCTGTCTTCATCCTCTTGGTTCTTACGGTCATGTTCGCCTGGTACAGGTGCCGCTGTTCCCAGCAACGCCGGGAGGTAGGAGGCCCTGCACCCCAGTGTGTGTGGGTGGGGGGTCTTGGGTGGGGCCGCCCCAGGCTGAGCTCAGCCTTACTGTCCTGCACCTGCCGGGGCTCCAGGAGAGGGTTGGGGGAGCACCGGTCCCAGAGAGCCCGTCCCCGCCAGGGGCCCAGCTGGCTGTGGTCAAGAATACACAGCCAGGTTCCCCAGACCCGCCCTGCCCTCCCTGCAAACCCTTGCTGTCCCCAGGACTCCCTGGAGGGCAGCATGGCAGGGCATGTGGTCTCCATCAGGGACACAACCTGGAGTTTCCGAGCCAAGGGAACCTCTTGCTTAGGGTGCCGTGCGAAGTGGGTTCGACCTCCAGCAGGCTCAAAACCAAGGGGAGGGCTGGGGGTGTGTGGAAGGGGTGTGTTGTGAGGGCACGGGGTGTACCTGGGGGTGGGAGTGTGCGTGTACATGCAAGCATGCCCATGAGTGTGAGCGCACACCTGAGGGCAGAGCTGTGGGCACGGGGGTTGCAGCTCACGCAGGCACTTCCTTCCTCCCCCCGCAGATGAAGGTCTTCCTAGAACCCCAGTCCTCAGAGTGGGAGTACAGCAGGGCCTGAGCAGAGCCTCCCCTGGCCTGTGGACACCAGACCCCAAGCCTACTCCGAGGCCGCCGGCACTGGCGGTCAAACCCTCAGCACTTGGAGCCCTGGAGCTGCTGTCCCCCCAACCCTTGTTTCCAGATGCCATAGACCCATAACCACCTATAAGGCAGAGAGGACACCGGCGAGCCGGCCCTGAGTGCGGACCTTGGGTGGCAGGGCCTGGGTCTCTAGTCCCACCCGGAGGGCACAGACACCGGCTTGCTGGTGGCAGGCTGGGCCTCTGTGTCACCCACTCCAGGGCGGGTGCAGACCCTTCCCCTCCACCCCCCTGGTCTTCCAAGCTCTGTTTCCTCAGTTTCCAAAATGGGAACACCTCACCTCCGCAGCACGAGACCTACCAGGACCCATGCCCCTCCCTCCGCCCTCATCAAACCCAGAGACCCGGGCTCCCTTTCTGCCACCCCAGCCTGAGTCCAGCCTCCATGCCCAAGTGAGGGGGCCGCTGCCGGAACCTCAGACACACTCCAGTTCAGGGCTGTAGGAGGCCTTGGCTGCATATGCCTATGACCAATGGCCCGCTTTGGGGGCCCCTCCGCGGGAACCCCAGGGGCCAAGGTGGGGTGCGGGGGTTAGAGGCTGGGATGGCTCCTGGCCCCACCGCCAGGGGGCAGCGCAGGCCGGGCCGAGAGGAGGCGGTGGCGGCTTGGCCTGGGAGTCAGGCGGACGCTGCCCTCCGGGGCTGGACGTGCATCCCTCAGTCTCTTGGCCGCCCGGGAGTCGCTCCCTCGTGCCCACCCCACCTGCCAGGCCTCCTTGGACCCACATCTGTTCCTGCTTTTGTCTTCGTCACTGGGGCAGAGCCCTTTGACGTCTTGATATGTATCGGATGAAAAAAATAACTTTGGGAATCCCCCTTCAGTTCTTTGAAAAGGTTCCATGACTTGAATCTCTGAAATGAAGAAAACAACCGACTCACAAACCTGCAAGTAGCTGGGAAATGCAATTTTTAAAATGAAAAACAAAAATCTGAAAGAAACGTCTTCAGTGGCTTTAAGCCCCCAAACGTCCCTACGGTGTCCTCAAGATGAAGACACGGGGAGCCCCCAGCCAGCTGGAGACCCCGCAGGGACACAGCGTCGCCCGGTGACCGAGACCTCGCGGAGCCGGCCGCCCGGAGGGTCAGGGCCGTAGCCAGGGTCCAGAAGGGGCGCGTTTGTGTCTCAGGTTAAAATAAGGTTCCCGTCCGCGTGCTGGGTTCGGGACTCTGCTGGGTCAGATCATGTCCTCTGGGCACAGCGCCCGGGATCCCCGTGCGGCAGGGACCCCCGTGCACCCGGGACCCCTGTATGGGGATCACAATCAAAGTTTTCTTTCTCTTTTTTCTTTTCTTTTCTTTCTTTTTTTTTTTTTTTGGAGATAGGGTCTAGATCCGCCGCCTAGGCTGGAGTGCAGGGGCGTGATCACGGCTCAACCTCCTGGGCTCAAGCGATTCTCCAACTCTGGCCTCCCAGAGTGTTGGGATTATAGGCATGAGCCCCTGCGCCCGGCCTCAAGGTCATTTTGAAATCGGTAGTCTGGGTGGGGCACACGGTGGTCACGATGTCCCCTGCACACCCAGGCAGGAAACCCAGGAGGAGACCCTGGGGCTGGAGTCCCTGAGGATTTTCATCTTTTCCTGGTGGCTTATCTCTGTTTCTGTTTCTGTTTTCCCTACTGGGATTTACTGCTGGTCCTCATGCTGCCTTCCCCCTCGGTGTGTGGGGGGTCTGTGTCTCCCTCTGCACCCCCCAACCCTACCCGGCCCCATGCTATCCTCAGACACACCGGGCACGTTCTGGCCTCAGGGATTCTGCCCTGCTCATCCCTCTGCCTGGAATGCTGTTCCCCAGGGCCCCAGTTGGTTTCACCCACGACTCCTTCTTGGATTGGCCTTTGAGGGCCACACCCACGCCCGTGTCCTGCTGGCTGTCCACCTGGCCTCCCTGAGGTCAGCTCCAGGCGAGAGGGCCCCTGGTCCACACTGTCCCCTGCTCCTGGCACAGAGGTTGGCATAAAGACGCTCAGTGAATGTTGGTGACCCAATGCATGCATGGAGCAAAGGCCAGAGGAGGGGCTGCTCTGTAAAGCGCCGTTACCCACCGCCTCACGCCACAGCCTCGCGAGGGTGCTCCAGGGTCTCTGGGCGAGATTCTGCCCCCAAATCCTCTGTCTCTTGTTTATGGAGAGCCTGGGGGAGGGAAACCGGCTCCTGCAGGACCCTCAGCCCAGCAGAAAACCTGCACCACCCCACAGCCCCACCCGTGTCTCTGCACCGGCTGCTGTGGCTGGGACCTCTGGGGAAGCAGCTCAGGGCTGCAAGTCCGTGTGTGAGTTGTGTGAGTCGTGTGAGTCATGGGCACATGTCTCTGCACACATGCATGAGTCACGCACACCCGTCTCTGCACACACACGTGTCCACATGCACCTGTCTCTGCACACACATGTGGAATCACGCACACCCATCTCCGCACGTGTGTCCACATGCTCCCGTCTCTGCACACACACATGTCCACACGCACCCGTCTATGCACACATGTGTGGAGTCACGTGCACCCGTCTCTGCACACATACGTGTCAACACGCACCCGTCTCTGCACACACGTGGAATCACGCACACCCATCTCTGTGCACGCGTGTCCACATGCTCCCATCTCTGCACACACACATGTCCACACACACCCGTCTATGCACACACGCGTGGAGTCACGTGCACCCGTCTCTGCACACATACGTGTCAACACGCACCTGTCTCTGCACACACGTGGAATCACGCACACCCATCTCTGCGCACGCGTGTCCACACGCTCCTGTCTCTGCACACACACGTGGAGTCACCCGCACCCATCTCTGCACACACGTGTCCACACACACCCGTCTCTGCACGAGTGGGGTCACACGCACCTGTCTCTGCACAGTGTGTCCACACGCTCCCGTCTCTGCACACACGTGTCCACACGCACCCGTCTCTGCACACACATGTGTCCACACGCACCCGTCTCTGCACACACGCGTGGAGTCACATGCACCCATCTCTGCACACGAGTGGAGTCACACACACCTGTCTCTGCACACACGCATGTCCACAGGCTCCTGCTCATGTGCTGCACCTGCTGGCTTTGGGCACCGACGTCAACGCTTTGTCATTGTGGTGGGAGGCCGTCAGGACAGAGAAGTGCCCGTCCCAGAGGACTCAGTCCCCCTGGGGTTAGAGCCAGGCACAGGTCTCCCTCAGCCCCTGAAGCTGGGCACTGTGGCCTGATACACTCCTCCCAGGGAGGTGGGGGAACCTCAGGCCTGGACCACGGCTCAGCCCTCTCGTCCCCAGGACGTGGAACACAGTGCCACGGTTGGCTGGTCGGCTGCAGTGCTGGGCACGGGCACAGGCCCAGCCTCCTTCCCCACGGCCAAACTAGGGGGTGCTAATTCTGGCCTGCCCTGTGCTCCTGTGCACTGTGTGCGTGACTCATGGGTGACTCCGGATTTCTGGGCATAAGTTGGGTTCCAGCAGAAAGTACCCCAGAGGACCAGGCAGGCTGGGGGGCAGCCCTGCCCCTCACCTCCAGACCCTGTCGCCCGTCCCCAGCCAGGGAGTCCCTTCTCTGTCCTCTCGTCTGCCCAGCCCCAGGCCTTGACCTCCTCCCTGTGGATTTGCAGGGGCGGGGAGGGACAGGGACACCCTGATCTCAGGGCGGCTCTCGGGGAAGCAGTGCTGGGGAGGGGTAAGTGAGGCCGCCCCTCCCACGGGGCCCACATCACTACCCTGGTCTGAGGCACCGCCTCCAGGAAGCCCTCTCTGAGCTCTGAGCGCCTGCGGTCTCCCGTGTGCTGCTCTCTGTGGGGTCCTGCAGACCCAGAGGGGCTCAGCTGCACTCATCAGGCTGGGAGAGCTGGGTGTGGGGAACATGGCCGGGCCCCCGAGGCTCCTGCTGCTGCCCCTCCTCCTGGCGCTGGCTCGTGGCCTGCCTGGGGCCCTGGCCGCCCAAGGTAAGAGCTTCCCAGACCCTCCATGGCCACAGCTCCGGAGCTCTCCCTGCCCCGTGAGCTCAGCGCCCCCAACCTGGGCCACAGCACAGCCCCCAGGAAGCGGGTGGGGTGCCGAGCGGCCTCCAGTGTCTGGGGACTCGTTTAAGAGAAGGAAGAAGGGTGGACCCCGTTGGGGAGTGGCCGGGGCTGTCCAGGCAGGGCTGCTGCTTTGGGAGGAAGAAGCACAGCACCGATGCTGGTGCCCAGATCTGCTCCACGCCCCGAAAGGCACCGTGTCGGTGGCGACATGTCATCCCTGGGCTGTCCCGGGGCCCCACCATCCCCACCACTGTCCCCTGCAGGAAGGACATTCTCTATCCTTCTGGCCCGACTGGTGGTGACAGCCCAGGTCCTCCCTAGAGGTGCAGCAGTCTCCCCACTGCACGATTGCCCCCGTGGGAGGCTCCGTCAACATCACCTGCTCCACCAGCGGGGACCTGCATGGGATCTACCTGAGGCAGCTCGGGCCACAGCCCCAAAACATCATTTACTACGAGGACAGGGTAGTGCCCACTACGGACAAACGGTTCCAGGGCCGCATTGACTTCTCGGGGTCCCAGGACAACCTGACTATTACCATGCACCACCTGCAGCCGTCGGACACTGGCACCTACACCTGCCAGGCCGTCACGGAGATCAATGTCTACGGCTCCGGTACCCTGGTCCTGGTGACAGGTAGGGAATGCGCCTATCCCAGACCACCCCCCCGCAACCCAGGCTGCTGGCCAGGCTCTGCTCCCCCAGCCCTTGTCGGGGGACCCTCCCTCCTACACGTGCCTGAACTGTTCCAGCTCCCAGCCCACCGTGCCCAGCAGCCTCCTAGATAGCTGCCCCTCCTCCGCTCCACAGCCTTTCCCTGCCCTGAACCCCAAACCCCGGGGGCTCTAACAGGTTCTCCACTGGGAGAATCCCTTCCTTCCTTCTTCCTTCCCAGAGGAACAGTCCCAAGGATTGCACAGATGCTCGGACGCCCCGCCGACAGGCTCTGCTCTCCCTGTCCCGCCGACAACCTCTGCCCTCCCTGCCCTGCCAACAGCCTCTGCCCTCCCTGCCCTGCCGACAGCCTCTGCCCTCCCTGTGGCCCTGGCAGTGGTCTCCTTCCTCCTCGGGCTGGCCCTGGGGGTGGCCTGTGTGCTGGCGAGGACGCAGGTCAGTGTGAGCCCCCGCTGCCACCTGCACCCCCACAGATGGTTCCCTCTCCTGAGAGCAGTGTGGAGGGCGCCAAAGCCCCAGAGGAAAGCCCCAGTACCCACTGCCTCCTTTGCAGGCCCTGGAGCTCTCAGGGTGGAAGTGGCCTTGGCAGGGAGGGAGGGAAACCAGCACCAAAGCGACCCGAGGGGGAGGGAGCAGCCCAGGTGCTGGTCCCGCGTGTGCACGTGTGCGCATGTGCAGGTGTGAGTGTGGGGGGGTTCTCTGAGGACTGTGTGTGCTTGTTGGAGTGCGTGGGCGGAGGAGGGAGCACCCAGGCTCTGGGCCCATGTGTGCACGTGTGCGCATGCGCAGGTGTGAGTGTGGTGGGGGGTCTCTGAGGACTGTGTGTGCATGTTGGAGTGTGCGGGTGTGCTGTGTGGCTGTGGGAAGGGAAGGGAGCCTCAGACAGACACAGAGTCTAGGCCGTGGCCCCTGCCCTCGGTCCCTGCTGTTTGTCTGGGGCTGGAGTGGGGGCCCCGCTTGGCCTGGGCTGTGGGGGGCAGTCCAAGCCGCTTCCACTCTCCTTCTTCAATGGCGCCCTGGAGTCCGACCCAGTCCTGTCCCAGGAAGGCTCTGCTGGGAAGCCCTGGGGCTCAGGAGACCTGGGGGCCGGCCTAGAGGAGTCCCGTGGGGGTCTCGTGTTAAACTGAGAAAGCTGACCGGAGTGGGGTGGGGTCTAGGACACCACACTGGCCCCTGGTTGGAAACAGCAGGTTCTGTCTTTCAGATGAAGAAACTGTGCTCGTCGCGGGATAAGAATTCGGCGGCGTGTGTGGTGTACGAGGACATGTCCCACAGCCGCTGCAACACGCTGTCCTCCCCCAACCAGTACCAGTGACCCAGTGGGCCCGGCCACGCCGCCCCCGTGGTCCCCCCAGCATCTTCCCCCCCCCACCATGCCCCCCCCCCCTCCACACCCCCACCCGGCCACAGCCCTTACCCCTCCGCGCCCCCCACCCCGCTGTCCTCCCACGGCTGCAGCAGAGTTTGAAGGGCCCAGCCCTGCCCAGCTCCGAGCAGACACACAGGCAGTGGCCAGGCCCCACGGTGCTTCTCAGTGGACAATGACGCCTCCTCCGGGAAGCCTTCCCTGCCCAGCCCCGCTGTCACGAGGAGGAAGCCTGACTGTCCTTTGGCTGCATCTCCCAACCATGGCCAAGGAGGGCTTCTCTGTGGGATGGGCCTGGGCATGCAGCCCTCTCCTGTCAGTGCCGGCCCACCCACCAACAGGCCCCCAACCCCCGGCAGCCCAGCAGAGGACCGGAGACCAGTCCGCCACCCAACAGCCGGACCAGAAATAAAGGCTTCTATGCTTCCTTCTCTGACTTCTGCATTTATTTCTCATCCAGCAGGAGCCAGGGAGGGCAGGTGGCTGAGACTGCAGACCCTCCCCAGGCCTCCGCCTGGGGCTCTGCAGCTGCAGCCTTGAAGGTGGGGAAGGGAGCACTTTCCCACCCCAGCCCTGAAAGGAGCCCTGGGGGCCCCTGACCCTTGAGAAGAAGCAGAAGCACATCCACCAGTCCAGGTGGAGGCTGGACCCAGGCGCCCTTCAGGAGCCTCCCTATCCCCCCATCCCCCCCACCTCCACTCCAGCGACACAGCCTCTGAGGCTGGCCCCAGGGCACACTGGGACCAGCAAGCTGAGCACAAGGCCTACCTCACCGGAGCAGCCTGATCGCTTCCCCTCCCTGCCCTGACGTGCAAGGTGCCTCCTCCTCGTTCTCAGAGGCATGGGGGAGACGCAGCCCGACTCTCCAGACCTTCCCCGGCCAGCACAGCTCCCACATGGGGACGGGAGCCACCATTTGCCCATTCCCGGGGGAGACAGAAGCACTGGCCCTCAGCCACTGCCAGGGGAGCTGCTAGGGCCCCACACACTGCACTTCATTGCCTCCTGCGACACAGGCGGGGAGCAAAGGTGGGGCCTTTGTGCATGCCCCTCACCCACCCCTCACACCTGCCCCTCACCCACCCC